AAAAGATGTTTTTGAAAAATTAAACATTGGTAATTTTGGTTCTTGTGAACAATGTATTATAGGAAAATAAGTTAAACTTCTTTTTCCTATTGGCTTCAAATATTACCTATTAATAATTGATGATTTCTTAAGAAAAATTTGGATTTTTTAAGGATCGGAAAACCCAGGTTGAAAATCATATTGATCTTAAAATAAAAATCTTGAGAACAGATAATGGATTGAAATTCTATAATTATGAATTCAACAATTTTTGCAAAGAGCATGGAATTTTGAGATATAGAAATGTCACCTATACACCACAACAAAATGGTATGGCTGAAAGAATGAACAGAACTTTGTTAAATAAAGTTCGTTATATGCTTTTGAGTTTTGGTTTGCCAAAAATGTTTTGGGGTGAAGCAGTTAAGATTGCAGCCTATTTGATTAATAGGAGTCCTACAAGTGCTTTGGATTTTGCTGTTCCTGAAGTTGTCTGGTCTAATAGCTCTATGAATTATTCTTACTTGAAATTTTTTCGTTGTGCTGCTTATGCTCATCAAAACATTAGAAAGTTAGAGCCTAGATCCCTTAAATGTGTTTTTTGGGGTATGATGAACATGTTAAAGGGTACAAACTGTGGGTTAAATCTGAAAAGGGTTACAAAGTTATAATTAGAAAGGATGTCATTTTTAATGAATCTTTGATGCCTTGCTTTGAAGGAAAAAAGAATGTTTTAACTGAAAAAGATGTTCAAATTGAAGTAGAGTCCTCTAGTAATCACCAGAATATTTCTGAGTCTATTGTTGAGAATATTGAACACGAAGAAAATGACATTTTGCCTGAAACTGAAACTGAACAAGTTGATCAATCTGATCCTACATCTCTACCCCTTGATGAGTATGTGGCATTGATGGGATGACGATGTAGTTTTGTTGCGTGATACTTGTGATGCAGAGCATGACATTTATTGCTTGAATCCTTCTCTTGCCACGATTCCTGAAGGAAAGTGGTATTGTTCGAGTTGCATAGCTAGTAATGATGTTGCTCCAACATCTTCTGAAAGGTTGGTAGTCAGCCAACAGCAAAGAAGCAATAAGATAGAGCCAATGCAAATTCTATTCAATGGAATTGCACCTCTAGCAGCTTCGATGGAGGAGGAAGAATACTGGATGTTATGTCCACACGAGGTTTAGTATATGTCACTATATTTTTCTACGAGCTCACAGAGTTGCACATGCACTTCATTTTCATCGAGTTACTCCTTGAATCTTGAGGTTTATAATGTGTTTCCTTGACTAAAATGCACTAACTGGGACTTTTATTTTGCATGAAGAAAACTTTACTGCTTAAGTTCTTTTGTGACAAGATGTTGACTTCCAATTTTTGTAAAACATCACTTTAAGGAGTGTGAAAGCTCTTGTCCCCGAGTGCGACGGGAAATGCGTTCTCTCTCTAAGAAATTGGAAGACTTGAAGCGCAAAGAAAATGACCTTGCCATGCAAGGTTGGTGTCTTGAAATGTATGCGAAGCAATTGGAAGAATATCGCCTTCCCAACGATCCCTCATTGACTATGGATGCAAGTGAATTGGTATCCAATCAGGAGGTATTGAAATCAGTGAGGAATGAAATTCAGATTCTCAAAAACTCAATTACCAATTTAGAAACTGAGCTAAAGATGCGGTCG